AAACTAGGTAATTAATTAGTTATATATTAGTTAAAGTGCTTTAGCTACTTTAAACTAGACTTATTATTAGTCTAGCTATTTTAGGTTATTATAATAAAGTAATTGCCTAGGAGGTTATTTTTTTAATATTAGTTAGTAAGGTAATATTAGCTTATATTAATAATAAATAGCTAGACTGCCTAGCTATTTATATTAATTACCTAAATAATTATAATTTATTTTTAGTTTTTAGGCTATATTAATTTTAGTTTTTTTATATTTATTTATACTTATAATAACTATTCTGCTTATAATTATACTTATAAGAAAGCCAGTCTTATTAATATTATAAATATTATTTAATTAGATATTATATCTTATAATTATATTTATTATAAGTATAAACTAATTATAAATAATAATTAAATCTTTATACTTAGCTTTTTAATAATTATATTTTTAAAAAGAATATATCTTAAGGTTTAAATATTACTTAATAAAGTTCAAAGCCTAATATATATTAACTAATAGTATATTATAATTAGTAAGTAATTAATTAGCTATTTCTTTTATATTATATAGCTAGGGGGAAAATCCTTATAAATCCAGGTTAAAAATAAACTAAATAAGAGTTTCTTCCTCTAAATTAAATAATTTATATAAATTAGGTATTATATTATATTAAGTAAGAATACTATTATATTAATTAAAGAGGTTATTATAATAAACTTTATAAATCGTTATAATATATTAAAGACTTAATTTTAGGTCATTCTGGTAGGCCTAAAGTGTAAAAATAATATTTACCTTATTAATTAATTATAATATATTAAGTAGTTAAGAAATAAATAATTAAATAGAAAGAGGAGAGATTAAGGGAAAAGTGACCATTTCGCTTATCTGACCATTTCGCTTATTATATACGTTATTAGTGTTATTAATCTCTTAATATTAAGATATATTCTTATAGTGGTAACTGGATTTGGAAAGCTAGGTAGGTGCAATGGTTGTATTATACTAAAGCTTAAAGAAGGGAAGACTCTCCTTGTGTCTGTTTTGTAAGGTACCATCCACAACCCCTCTTTCGCCAGGCAAAATAAAAAAAAGCTCCACCAAAACTCATCAACTTCACTTACACGAAAGTCAGCCTGAATATATAGCTAACTGAGAGAGACTACCTCTTTTGATCATAAAAATGATTGGGTATGATGATTCTGACCTTGTAAGGCTGTGCGGGGTACGTGATCTATGCATGCTTTGCTATGGAAATGCAGTTAGTTTGATCACCAAATTCCTCACCGCTCTTTGCCTTGTTTTTTGGCCTTTGTCTTTGACAACGGTAAGAAAATGCCTAGGTCAAGACTTCGATGGAAATACACAGAGGACGACATGGCAGAGGCCATATTGGATGGCTATCCAAGCCACCAGTTCACGCCACATTAATGCTTAAGAAGCATCATGTCGCAGTTAGATAGATAGATAGAGTTTATTACGCCCGGGAGAACGAATCTCATAGGGCCAGTAGGTACGCTAAGCTACTTACGATTCCTCAGCATTGATCCGGTCTGTATAAAAGAAAGCCCTACTTCTCGTGCTAAGTCTTTTCCATTCTAGCCTTGCTTGACTCTGCTTCACATGCCTGCTTGAATGCCGACTTCTTCAAGTGTTCATCATCCTATCTTCAGCAGCCAAAGTATGGTCTGTTAACTTGAGGCTATTTAGTGCTAGTAGCCAACTATGATGTTAACTGGTGTTAATATTTAATATGTTCTGTCTTCCCTTCTTAACTTAGTCTTCCCCTTGCTATCGCAAACTTAACTGTCGCTCACACCGCCTCTAGGTTAGGTGCCCACTTTAGGTCTATCTGCCGCCGACTTGCCACCCAGAAAGAAAGAAAAGTTCCCTATTATGCCTTATCCTACCTATCGCATAACTTCACGCTCCGTCTCCTATCTTGTATATCGGAACAGGAAATATTCTATCGTCTCTGGTGCGCGTCTGCACTCACATATGCCCCATGGTGAGGCCGTCGTCTTGGGATGGTATCCACATCATCTTGACCCTGTTATTTCCATTTCCCAGTCGCTTGACGTGCTCATAGATCTGACGAACCGTGACCTGGCCGGACTGCTGACGCGGTCGCGAGATTGCTTTGAGTGAAGACTGGCTACTCAATAGTATAGTAAGGTCCCGACGTTGCAGATCATCGGACATGCATCGCAATGCCATCGCTATCGCCTCCAGCTCGGCCGTGTGCAGCGGAAAATATGACGTAGGACTACCGCGAAACAAATTATCCACTAACTTAGTTTAGAGATTATTAAAAATAGGGAAGGTAAAGTGCTCGGGGGTGCAGATATATGACTAGCATTTCCCCTGAGCTAAGGGACCACCAGGATACGCAGGTCCTCAGATATCTATATCAGACGCAGTCAATATGGATTTAGAAGGGCTTTAACAAGTAGAGTATATCGTCATATAATCTTAGTACTATTTGGCTCTCAGTTTTTCAAGCTTTACATTCTGTGCGTGACTTGATCTCTGCGCTAATTCCCATGTGCTGACCACCGAATCTAAACTACAGGCAGGAGTTACACTCACATTAAGTCTAAGATATCTGCAATGAATCAACCGCATCCCAAGGTCCAAAAGATTCCATGTATACTCAGTTTCCGATAAAACATTGAGTTTATTTAACTAACGTACATGATAAGCGAGTGTCTCAAAAATCCCTCAACTTCCCCAAATTTGCATTCAATCATGAATTTCTCAACAACCAACAATGCCACGGCTTAATAACGAGGCGAATATTCTTCTTGCTCTTCAAGCTCTTCAAAATGACCTAAAATTAAGTCTCCGTCGCGCAGCAAGCATATATATAGTCTCCTGGAAAACCCTTAGTCGCCGCCAGAAGGGCATCTAGTCTTAACGCGATGCTACTCCTAAGTCACGCAAACTATCTGATCTGGAAGAGCAGACTATAGTTCAGTTTATTCTCGACCTAGATTCGCGAGGATATCCCCCGAGACTATGTTATATAAAAGAAATAGCTAACTAATTACTTACTAATTATAATATACTACCTATTAGTAAGTAATAGGCTTTTAACTTTATTAAGTTATATAAAGAGCTTAAAATATATTTTTTTTATAAATATAACTCTTAAAGAGCTAATTATAAAGATTTAAATATTATTTAGAATTAATTTAAACTTATAGAAAATATAATTATTAAGTATAATATTTAATTAAATAATATTTAAAACTTTAATAAGATTAGTTTTATAATAGGTATTATTATAAGTAAAATAGTTATTATAGGTATAGATATATATAAAAGGTATAAATTAATTTAATTTAAAAACTAGGAATAAATTATTATTATTTAGGCTATTAATACAGAAGGCTAAGCAATCCTGCTATTTATTATTAATATAGGCCAGTATTACCTTGCTAACTAGTACTAAGATAGTAACCTCCTAGCCGATTAGGTCATTGCGATAAGCCTAAATGGCTAGACTAATAATAAAGTAGGCCTCGAGTAGCTAAAACATTTCGACCGGTATATAAGCAAGTAATTAAATAGTTACTATTATCTTCTAATCCTTAACGGCCACGAAAGTCACTACTATCAATTTTAAGAGATATTATAAGAAAAACAAAATTATCACGCTTTATATACTACCTTACTTATCTTATCTACTTTAGCCTCTTAATATTAGGTGCTTTAACCTACTTAAAAAGGTATATAGTTAAGAAATTGAGTATCTAATTTAATGCTCTATAACCTATATTTCTAAGATTAAGTTCTTCTTGGCTTTTTATACCGCATTTTAGGCCATAATAATAGAGAAAAATATAAAATTAGCTTTTAGAGGAGCCAGGCTTATGCCTCTTAACCTGGAAAGTATGGTCTTAAAGTTTAATATGCGGCTGCGGACCCTAACGCCTGCCGAGGAGGTAGCTAGCCCCTTAACCCCTTAGGTCTCAAAGACGCCAAAAACCATGCTTGAAGCATAATTTTAGTATGCATACCTCGATATATAAATCAGGCAGCACTAAAGTAGCTCCCCAGAGTCAATTCTAGGAGCTCTCAAGTCTCTTGCTAAGGGAACCAAGGCAATAATGCACAAGAATGCCTTATTAAGGGCTAAGAACCAAGACCTTCAATAAGCAAATAAGATACTAAGTCAGCGGCAGAATATAAAAAAAACCAGACTGCAGAAGAGAGGGGTAATAATAGTAGAGGAAGGAAGGCAAGCGATGGGTCAGATGAATGTTGACGGGCAGGCAGTGGAAGAATCGTTGAGAAGTGGTAGTCAGGGAAGGTCGGTGTAAGCAAAGGAAAGGCATTGTGGAGCATGCGGCAAGATAGGGCATAACGCAAGAATATATCAGATAGTTATTTCAGTATCTGAGGAAGAGTATAGCAGTTAGTTTTAATTGATTTAGAGGTTCGTTGTGTTTTTGTGATAATTTATATCTTATTGATTGATGTTTGTTGAGACACTCGCTTGTCTGAGACACTTGCTTATTATGTACGTTATCCGTTTGGTTTAGATCGAGGTATTGTTGGTAGTTACAAGACAAAAAAAACTCTTCGTCATACTTAGCTTTCCCAACTTCCCCAAGTTATCAAATGTTAATTACAACCTTCCCCAAGTTCTGTTTCTTCTATTGATACTGATACGCGTCCTTGGTATTATTAATAAAAAAGACCTTAAAGTTAATAACAGGATAGATCTTAGCTAAGTTAATTACTTAATTTATTTCTATAAATTATTACTTAGATCTATTAAAAATACCTTATACTTTATAGATATAATTTAAGGTATTTATTAAAGATAATTACTTATTACTATTAGTAGAAATTAAGAATCTAATAATAGTAATAAGACCCTTAAGCTTAATAGCCTTAAATAATTAGGTAATACCAGTAATACTACTAATATTAAGAATATAATTAAATCTAAGGCCTATATAAGTCAGGGCATAGGCCAACTTGCCTTAACTAGTATCCTTTTAATAGTTAATAATATAACTAGCACTAAGCTCCTTAAGAGTTTTAGCCTTCTTATTCGATAATATAATAGAAACAATAGTAGCAACTGCGGCAGCAGCAAATTGAATTACAGCCAAGCCGGCGCCACCTGTTCCCTGGGTCAAAACCCAATCACCAGCCTTGATTGCCTTAGAATGGGTAATAACTAGGATCAAGAAAACCGCCCTTAGGGTCCCGAGTCAGACCTAATGTAGCACTGTACATAGCTTCATTTTGCAACCAGGTTGAAAATAGGGGGTATATCACATCGTATAATCCTCGGCCTATGTGACCCTCAGGGTAATTGAAGGGTTGTTAGGGGAAGCTCGTTAGAAGAATCTCGTCATAGTAGGTAAATACGAGCCTATCAGACGATAAAAACTAGTTCATCATTTAGGGAAACATCAAGAGCTTTTATGTAGTTAAAATCCCTTATTGAATGTGATACCCGAGACGGTGTGCTGCTTTGACCTACAGCCCTTTTGAGTAGTATCTAGACTAACTCACCGCTACCCCACATACCCCCCGTCCCCGCATACCCGTAATAGCATTACAACCGAATCCGTACATAACTTTAATTAATTCTATAATAATAAGTATTTATTTAATTTAACTGAGAGTTTGGAAACTAATTTATAAATATTATATCTGTAATTTGTGTTTTTAGTAAATTCTTTTTATATTAATTTTTCTTATTTCCTTTAATTTAATATAGTCTATTCTTTTTAGCTTAATTATAAGTTAAGATAATTTATTTAATCTTAAGGAAAGCCTTATTAGGGTTTAATTAAATAGTAACTTAGCTAATAGGCTTTTTTGTTATTATTAATACCTTTAGTATTACTTTTTCCTCTTTTAAGTATTAAATTTAATTATTCTTTTAGTTAATATATTTTATTACCTTCTTTATAATATAATTAAAGTTATAAATAAAGGTATTTCCTTAACTTTATATAACTTCTAGTTATTTTTAAATATTTATACTTCCTTAAGGCATACTTTAGATTATATTAGTAATTACTTAGGCCTTTATTAGTATTATAGGCCTATTAAAGTGCTTATATTTCTTCTCCCTTAGCTTTAATACTATTAATGCCTTTTATAAATTAATTAGGAAAAGCCCAGAGGCTAAGAAACTACTTATTATATTCCTATAGCTTAAGGCTTTTAATAAAGCCCTTTTATAAGCTTTTAGGAAGAGTTATTATTAGTATAGTAAGGTTACTTTATATAAGGCCTAAGAGCAGGTAAACTAGTAATAGTATGTTTTTAATAGCCTAAATAAAGTAATATTAAGTAGCTAAGTAATATATAATAAGTATAAAGGTAATTAAGAAAGCTAAATCTTATATACTTATGCCTTTTTTATTAATTCTGCTATAATATATAACTTATACTAGTCTAGAACTAATAGTTTTTATTAATTAAAATCCCTTAGCTTAGTTTATAATATAAATACCTTTATAAACTAATAGATAAAGATATTATTATTAAACTAATTAATTAAACTATAAGTATATTTCTAATTAAGAAAAATAGCTAGAAACTACTATCTTTAGAGGTTCTTACTAGTAAAAATAATATAAGGTATAAGATACTAATTATCTGCTAATATAAACTTAATTATTAAGCTTTAAGTTATATTATTAGACTTTATCCTCTTTAAGGAAGAAGTTATTACTATTCTGGCTATTATATTATTATTAGTCTTATTAATTTAAATACTAGTCTTATTAATATTATATATATAAGGCTTAATTATCTTTTTTATATTAACTACTTAATTAAAATTATTATAATACTTAGAAAGTAACTTTTTTATTATATAATACTTTTTTATAAATTCTATAACTTATAATAGCTTTAATTCTATACTTAAATAGCAGGTAAAGAATTTATTAACCTAGTTCTTATTAATATAATAGACTTACCTATTAATTAATAATAATACCTATATAAAGTTATAAATATCCTTTTTTATAAGAGGCTAAAAAGCATGCTTTTATTTAATAATATAATTAACTAAGTTATTTTCTTATTTTATAATAAGTAATTAATCGTTTTAATATATTATATAGATATCTTAGCCTCTAGTATATAAATTATATAATATTAAGAGCTTAATTAAGTATTTTACTACTAAGGGCTATAAACTAATAATTTCTATATCCTTAATAGCTAATAATATCCTCTTTTTATAATCTAATAGCTGCGATTTTATTACCATTAAAATAAATAAAAACAGATTTTATTTAATAAATATAAAATAAAATAAAGAATCCTGTATTAATAACACGATAATGGTGTTGAAGTGTGCGGGGACAGGGGGTGTGTGGGGTGGCGGTGAGTTAGTCTAGTAGGCTTAGAGATGACATCGCTCTGCGAATTCAACTGCCTAGCATGTGCTTCTGTTTTGCGCTAAGTTTTACAAGAAACATAGGGGCAAACAGATAATGCTAGGGCAAGGATAGTACTTGAAGATTGTCACGCTGTTGGTGGTGGGTGCAGCTTCATTGGCTTCAAAGGGCCGCCAATTTATAAGTCATTTGCGCCCGCAAAGAGGGTCGTTATGGTAGGCTTGGTGCTTATTGCCGTATAGGAGGTCTAGTCTCGGCCAAGTAAAGCCGAAATAGTAAAATTCGCGGATCACCAGTGGTTCTGATAAAGGCATCCCCTCTACACCGATCTATATATCTAATTAACCCCCCCTTACAGCTACCTTATAGGGAACTAATTTAAAGGTAAAAGTAATATAATACTATTAATATTAATACACTATATTAGTAATACCTTATACTAATCTAAACCTGGCAAATATATAAAAATACCTTATTAAGAGGGCTATAAGTTACCTAAGGCCCCTTAACTAGCAAAAGTTAGATTAATTTGTAAAAAAAATTAAAGTTCCTTAGTTTAGGTAAAGGTCTTATAAAAGTATATATATCCTTATTTTAGTAAATAACTATACTTATTATAATAAAAGATATTATAACCCTACTTATAACTTTACTTTATTACTAAATTAATAAGATAATTAAAATTTAAGTTTAAAAGTATTAAAATGCCCTGCCTTTAACTACCTTATTTTATTTATATATAATAATTTTACTTTTAATAAAATTAATTAATTTATAATAAATTAATATATATAATATATTAAATAAAAGCCCTGCTTTCTCTCTCTAATATTAGATATACTATCTCTATATATAAATACAGACTTTAAGTTTATAAGGCAGAGACTAAATAAGGTTATTAATCTTTTCTGTTATTTCCGTTATAATCTCTGCTCATGCCAACCTTATATATTTAACTAATTCTTAGATATTAGATTTATTCTTCTTTAGGTCTTCTAAGTAAGGGTAATACTTCTATATTTTAGACTTAACAGCTTTCTAATATGCTTAATAAAGTTAAGATCTGGCAAATATGCAGGCTAGTTAATTTACTTAATTAATTACTTTAATAACTAATTAGTTATTAACTGTAAAATATAAATCCTTATATTAGCCTGCTAGAAGTATTATATGCCTTTATATATAGGAAGTAGCCCTTTTATTAAAGCTAGTTAATAACTTTATAATATATATCCTCTTCTTTTAGCTGCGTTATTATAGATTATAAATATATTATTGATTTTCTACCTCCCTAGATTACTTCCTAAAGTATAATTAATATTTTAGACTTTTCTTAAATTATAAGATTAATAAATAGTTTTATAAACTTCTTATAAGTCTTATAAAATAGCTAGTCTTATTTATAATTAGGTTAAGATTAAAGTATAAACTTATTAAAGAATATTATTTAAAGTTATTATTAATTTAGTAAAATCTTCTTAAGCTTAAGTAATACTTTATCTTTAATTATCTTTATCTCTATTAATTTATTAATATTATCTTTCTAGCCTTAATACTATAAAAGCTATTATTATATTATTTTTCTTAATAATAGTATTAGCTAGATTACTCTTTATTTATAACTATAATAAAGGCAGATAACTTAAAATAATATAAATTATAAGAACTTATTACCTAATATATTAATAATTACCTTATATATAATATAGTAATCCTATTTAAGTAAAAGTAATATATATTAGATTTCCTAAATTATAAGTTTTTAGGGATATCTAGGTCTTAGATAATTATCTAGTTTCTTATTATCTAGTATTAAACTATCCTTATAATAGATAATAGTAAATACTTCACGTTATATGCGATATTATAATATAACCTTCCTGTCTCTATATTGCAAATAATAAGAGCTTTAGCTACTAGACTTAGCTCCTGTTTAGGGGGGCAATTAGCATATATTTATGCTAGGATTCCTTAACTTAGACTTTCTATTTATTATAGTTATAGACAGTTAAAGATATAGAGTCTATTGCGTGGCGAGGTAGTGGATTACGCTGCGGTGTGTTCTGATACATTTCGACATTTATTTTAGCATAAACACTATTATATAACTCGCCCACAACTATTGCAATTCTACATCAATCTGCAATAAAACTAAATTAATAAAGAGAAAATCTTTAGAAGAAACTATTATTTAAAAATAGATTAATTTAGTAACTAGAAAGCCCGACTTTATACTCTTTATTACATTATTAAGAAAGCTACAGACAAGCTAAGGGTATTATATTTTAATTAAGACTTTATAACTAAGATAGTCCTATTTACTAGTAGCTAGGATATAAATACTATATAAGGAACTATATAATCTCTTAATATCTTATATAATCTAACCTTATTTCATAATCTCTTAATAAAGGGCAAAATTAAAATATAGGAAATAAGAAAATATTATTTTTATCTTATAATAAAAAGATATATTAAGGGAAAAATATATAGCTAGTTATTAATTATATTATCTTTATTCTTAAGTAAATACTATGCCTCTTATTGGCTTAAATATTTATAGAAAGCCTTATTGCCTTCTAGCTGCTGTATTAGTTATCCCTTAGCAGTCTAGTATTATTATCCTCCTTGCTTATAAATCCATTCTTATAGACGCTAGTAATACTACCTATGCCATAGCTGCTTAATGTCTGCTTAGTATTAATATAAATTTCTTATATAGTATAAATAGCTATCCGTACTTGTAAATCTAAATATAAATATTAGCTAGTAAACTTATCTATATTGCGTATTATCTCTTAATTATAATTAGTAGTAATTGCCCTATTTGGCATTTCCTATAGTTTAATAGAAACTATATTTAATATATTATTAATCTCCTTTATTAATATCCTTTAATTCTTACTAATAGAAGTAAAGCTTTTATTTAGGAGTCTAGTATATCCTTTCTTAGTATAGCTAAAAGCACTTTTAGAGATAATACTATAATTGCGTTTTTTAGTAACCTTACTTATTAAATTAGCTATAGATATCTCGATTTTAAGCTTAATAATATAGGCAAAGGGATAGAACTATATATAACTAAAGCTGCTATTAGTGTTATTATTTATACTTAATTATATACTTAACTTATATAAATATATTATTTAAACTTATTATAAAAATAATTAAAATATCTATATTAAAAGAGAATCTAATAATATATATATTAAATTTTATTAGATTTCTATACTTTATTAGGCTATATATTACTAAGTTATATTAAATAATTTTAGTAAAATAAAAGTTTACTACTTTATTAATAATTAGATAAATTACCTTCTTAATATAGTTCTATTACGTATTAATTTAAATATATCTCTTTAAAATTTATAAATAAGTAAGAATCTAAATATTATAAACTAAAATATTTATAGCAGTAATTAAAACTATAATACCAACTTTAAGATAATAGGTATGTTTTTTATCTATAAGAAGGATAACATAATAGTTAATAATAATTTAAAGGAAGAATTAGACTTAGCTAGATTAGCATTAATAATTAGTTTTATAAGGATAATTAAAGCATACTTAAAAGGCCTATATAATAATTACTAAGATTAGTATTTATTATAAAAAAGACTTTAAAAAGGCAGATATATAAATAGTAAAATAAAATGCAAAACTAGGGATATTAAAGTATTAATACTTTAAAATCTATAAATAGGAATTAAGCCTAACCTAGGAGGTATATAGCCTTTTAAGTATAACTAATAGATAATACTAAAGATAACGCAGATAAGAATCTCTAGCTATATTATCTAAATATAAATATTATAAAATATATTAAGGTAATACCTCTTATAAATATACTTTATTTGCTTTATAATAATCTAGGTTATAACCTAGCTAAAGCTAATTATAAAGCCCTAGGTAAGTAAGGTAATAACTATATTATCTTTAGTAACTTCTTAAAGTATATAATATAGAGAGAGAAGGGTAATTATAATAGATTAGGTAAGAACATAGTAGTAATAGAAATAGATTATAACTCTAGTAAATATTTAATTAAAAGGCACTAGCGGCCTATATATTATAATAATAAAACTTAGCTCTATATTTATATATATAACTTTAGGCTATTATATAATATAATATTCTTAAGAGCTAGTAGGCTTATAACTTACTATATAAAGAGCACTATAGCTATTATTATAATACCTTTCTATAAGTTATTTATAAGGCATAGAGATAGCTAAAGCTTATTAGCTTATATTATTCTTACTAGTCTACTGCCTAAGTTATAGCGGTCCTTTCTTATTTAGCTTAAAGATACCCTATTATATTCCTTTGGCATATTCTATTAGCTCCCCTAGCCGCATAGATAATAAGGTTTACAAGAAATAAATTCAGCGCCACTAGTAAGGGGAATTACAGGGAATATTATATTATAAAGGCATATATTCTTATAATAGTAGAGGATAGGCAAATCGGTTTAAGATAGCATGCTTTCAAGACCCTAGATTAATATTATAAAGTAAGTTCAGCCGTTATATCGCTAGATATAAGTTAGATTTCCTATTAATCAATTGCAGGGCTCTTAATTAGTGCTAGTTTATCCCATATTCGTAAGCTTAGCACACAGACACCAAAAACCTAATCCGGTGGCGTAGTACGTTGTGTCACCAATGTGGCGCCGTCGCACCCGTAGTTCTAACTGGCGCCCGCACTCCAAGTACAGATTTCGCATATTTTAAGACCCATACAAGTAGAACGTTTGCAGTGGCGGAGCAGGTAGCACAAAGCTAGGTCTATCCCATCAAGTGCTAACTGACGCCAGGTACTGTCAGACATTACGTGTATTCGGTCCATTGATGCAGATTCGTGTATTCATCTTGTGTTGCGTCAAAATCTGCTCCTTGGAGGCTTTACTGTTTACGTGCGCAATCTTAGATGACACCTGCTTGCATGTGACAACCCAGCACCTGTTCAACAGAGATGCATGGCTGCAGCCAATTAGCGAGCTGCTAAGAAAGTTTTGACCCAATCAGAAACCGCACCCTATCGGTATTTCTTTTTACTACATAATTTGCGTGTGAAATTAGTACCAGCAATTTTCCGAGTTACATAGAGAGAGAGACATTGCACTCATAGCAACCTGATCTCGAGTACCTCCTTTTGCCTCTATTTCCGGACACCCGTCCTAATGCTTCTCTCACCCGCGGAGGGCTGCTACAAGCTACACAAGGGGAATTGGAACCGCACTTCCTTCGACTATGCTCTTGCCATGGAATCAAATCCAAATCAAATCTATCCAAATCAAATCAAATCGCGATGTCCAGATTTATTTGGATATCTGGCTATTTGGATAAGCCCCACTGCTGTGATCTGGCCCAATCACTGCCGGTCATTACGTCCCTGCCTACCTCACGGCGCCTGTCCTCCATCCCGCATTTCGCTGGTCGACTGCCGAGTCACAATGGGCTGATCATCCGGACTGGTTAATCAGAGGAAAGGCAGCAGTGCAAGAGCTATGGGAGGAGTATCAAAACCTCTCCGTCGAGCAGGGTGCGCTACCGGAGCAGCCAACTATTGCAAGGAAGGCAACGGAGCTTGATGACTCTATGACCTCAATCAGGAAGCTCAGTACTCAGCCTGCGCCTTCGCCGTCTGCCATAGGCGATAAGTATGCAGAGTGGGTGGCCACAACCGATCCAGGCGATTGATCTCTTTTCAATCCCGGCCATATCATCCGAGCCAGAGCGGATATTCAGCCTCGCCGGGCAGATAGTCAGGGCAGGGAGAGGGCGTCTCAATGCGGATCTCATAGGAGCCGCTCAATGCATATCGTTTTGGAAGAAAAGTGGAGTCATCCAGATATCCAAATAAGATCCAAATCGATATAAATCAAATCAAATCAAATCAAATCAAATCAAATCGCCAATTTCAGTATACAAATCAAATCAAATTAGACCCCCGATTTGATTTGATTTATTTGTTTGCAAGCCTGTCCCCGGGGTACATGCAGACGTGCATGCAGCGTAGAGGTCCTCAGGAGTAACTACCATAGTAATATGAGAGTGTTCTGAGTCCTCAGAGTCGCTGGTATCCATCATGACGACGGCGTCCGTCGTAGATGATGGGTTTTGGCTGCACGGGCTCCTCTGTTCAGATTGGCGGGAGTGTGGATCCCCAGATCGAAGGGATCCGAAGCAGCGGGCGGGTTCGTCGTAGACGAAGCCATCGCCGCTGCTTGCGACTGCGCAGAGCGAAGGTTGGAGTGTGTGGTGTGCACTTGTTAAGGAATTAGGTGTAGATAAGACCACTTTCTTAACACTGTTGGAAAATCCGGGGACCCCCCTTCCCTTCAGGGTTTAGACTGTTAGTCTGAAAGTCTTAGATTTAAAGTTCAAAGTCCTAGATAAAATTATCTAGAGATATAAACCCGAGAAGAACTCTCATCTCAATAATAGAACAATCAAGTTTCGTAAAAACATATATATTTTCACTCAGCACTACTGCGCAATATAAACAACACGGGCTCGACAACGATACACGCTGGAACTCATATTTTCTTCTGCTCGATGCCGCTCTTGATAAGGAGGATCATATCAAGTGGTTTCAGGACAAGTACTACGACGCCCTTGTGGACGACTACTTAGCACCACAGGATTGGCAAAACCTTCGCGAGACGCGCAACTTCTTACAGCCGTTTTGGAAGATAACTCTCCTTACTGAGGGGTATCGTTCAACGCTCGATCGTACATTATTTACGATGGACGTCCTTCACAAGCATTACCAGGAAGCATTCAACAAATACAAGATGAACCAACAGCTACTTGGTCCAGTACTGACGAGCTGGCATGTCTTCGACAAATACTACCAGCTCTCCGATGAGAGCCCGGCATACGCTGCAGCGCTTATTCTCCATCCATCCCGAGGAAAGGCTCATATACAGAAAAATTGGCCAAAGGCATGGCATAAGAAGATCTTTACAGGGGTGAAGACGTTGTGGGAAGACGAATACAAGAACCTGCCAACCGTTTATACTACTCCTTCCATTGTTCCGGCACTGGAACTGGACGAGTATGACCTGCTTGCACAGGAGCTTAATGTCTTTGGCACAGAGCCCGACGTTGACGAATACGAAACCTACACCACCCAGCCGCCCATTCCAATCGACTGCTCCCCCCTTATCTGGTGGCTCCGCAATGAGCAGAAGGAGCGCTTTCCCCGACTGTCAAAGATGGCAATAGACATTCTCTCAATACCCGCCAAGTCTGCTGACCCTGAGCGTACATTCTCTGGAGCATGGCGTACAATTTCGTAGGATCGAATGCTCCTTGGAGCATCGACAATTGAAAAGGGGGAGTGCCTGAAGAGCTGGATTCGCAGCGGTATAACGGCAGGGCTACAAGTAGACGAGGTTGAACAATATGAGTACATGGCAGAGGAGGGAAGCACCAGCGCTCTAGAGGAAAATGTCGGCCCTTGACCGGTTTGACGTCATTTGCCGTATGGGCAATATATGGTTTAGTTCGCCATACGAGAATAAATCATACACCATAAACCATTCAGGTCCGTATTGCGTATGGCGTATGGTTAGAAAGCCTGGGAGCAGTCATTGCGTGGATATTCAGACGGTATGATTGCCAGTGTAGTTATGATGTATAAGGAGAGAAAGCAAGAAGTGGAACGATGAACTTGCTTTTTCCATTTTCATTATTTTGCACGAGGAAAACCATCATAATATAACCGTCCAGTTGGCTCGGGAGCCCAGCACATCGGCTTCGGGGAAGATATGTCCGCATCGTAAGTATTAGTCATCGTATCAAATACATGCGGAGATTCGCCGTTATGGCGGACCACGTTAAATCTTTGAGCTTCCGGGAGACTCGGTCCCTCCACTCGGCAGTTTCAATGAGCCAAGATCTGGCAGCCAACTGACCCTGCGGCAGGTTGATTGAATGGCGGGAGCTGCATCGAGTCAGTAGGCATGTAATCATAAAGCACGACATTCCATGCTGGATATTGTTCTTGACCCTTATCAGACTATTCTGTTTTTCGGGCAGACTCATTACTCCGAGTCATGATTAGTGATCCGATCCATGATTAGTGATCTAGTCTAGTCCACATTTCCCGCGACTTAATGGGGATCCACCCAAGATCAAGACAATCATAGTGGTAATGAATAACCTTTATGCTTATATTGCAAGGTATACTATCAAGTCAAATATCTTTCCTAAATTTCTTATATCTAATCAATAATCAATGCTACTCTAGGATATTGGCGTCCTCCAAGCCGTGCTTGACGAGCACCAGATTGTGATCGTCATCTCAACGCTAGCAATGCAAATCATTGGTGACGGAAAGTCCCAGATTAATCTTATTGAGGCAGCTGAGAAGAGCAGTTTCGACGGAGCGATCCGTGGCCAGCACCTGGGCTGTCCGAACCCCTGCAGAGCAAGCCCCTCAAAGCCCCAAGTGCAGATATCACACTGCTAACACCATCTTTGCTAGGCACCTAGCTCCTACCCCATGGATTTCAGCACAACGAATCGTACGCAACGCTTGAAAAGACGGGGCTCGAATGGACCACCTTCAACTTGAGTTGGTTCCTCGAGTACTATTCAATGCCGCATGTAGACACATATATCCTGCAGACGACATTCGTTGTGGACATGGCCAACAAGTTTGCCTCCATCCCCGGGGACGGTAATCAGATGATCTTCACATGCACAAGGGACGTAGCGAAATTTGTTGTTGCGGCGCTCGACCTGCCAAATGAGAGCGCGACACATATGTCATAGGCGACAAGATGACCTTGGAGGATTTCATTAAGCTTGTTGAAGAAGCCAAATGTAGGCACCCATTACTATATGGCCCGTAACCCTAACTCTAACCCTGGCAAGACAAACAGAAAAAAAAGGCAAGTGAATAATTGCCGCTTTATAACTTCCATTAAGCATCATATTAGAATTTATTCATCGCTATCCATATGCCACAATATGCAGATAAGGGAGTTGTAAGTAACGGGTGCGTGCATTCTGTACTTAACATAAGCTTCTCACTGCCTCTGAGTGTCCACTTGCAACTACACAGAGCATCTAAATTGTTTTAGGGGAGGACTTGGGGCGTCGGCGTCATCCTACACTTTTCATACATAAAATTCTAGCTAGAACTGCTCTAAAGAGTGATGAGCTAGGAGTCCTCTCAATCCCCTCTCAAAACAGTAAAGTATACAGGGTTTTTAACAAATAATTAGAAATATAAGTAATAAATGCAACCCAGCGGCCAAAATGGCTAAAACTAAGCATAGCTCTAAAAACATCAGATCTTCACCCTTCTAACGTACCCTATACTTGGGCCTTCTTCTTGGCCACCTCCTGGCCTCGCTTGTACACACTCGCCTGAGTCTCCTTGTTATCTAATCCAGCTGCCTTAACCAAGGTACTGTCAAAAACAGTCCTAGGTCCCAATACATTCAGCAGCCATACTAAAGATGCATTAGTACCTTTCCAGAGGAAAGATTGTTTTCCACCAACGATTTCGCCAACCACCTCACGAGCGAATTGCTCCGGCGGCATTGTTTTATCTAAATGAGTGGTTGTTCTTTGTTTGACAGCGGCCTCCGCGTCATGGTAGATGCTATTGGCTCCAAAATTGATGTTGTCGGTCGCCATTAGGGGGGTAGATACTTCTCCCATGTGGAGCGTTACGACCCTTAGGCCCAGTGGGCGAACCTCAAGTCGAAGAGTGTCCGAGTAGGCTACTACCGCCGCCTTAGTCGCATTGTAAGCGGAGGAGAAGGGGCTTGGGAGGCGCGCTAGAACCGAGGCAACATTGACGATAGTTGGCGCGTAGTTTTGGGAAACAGAGACGAGGAGAAGGGGGGTGAAGGCCGTAACCACTTCCATCAGTCCAAATACATTCGTGTCGAACAGGCGGCGAACACGAGTAGGATCGGCCTCAACGGCAGGCGCTTCGTACACTCAAAAACAGCTGTTAGTACTCGACAGAATGAATCCCGGAGAGAACGGGCGACTTACAGGCACCGGCGTTATTGAAGAGAATATCCAGAGAGCCTCCTGTGCGAGTCGCTATCTCAGTCTTGAGGTTGGCGATGCTTTCAGGCTTGGTCACATCGAGAGTGAGGGTCTCAATGCCCTTCTCAGTCAAGTTACCAAGTGTCTTGAGTGAACGCGCGGTGGCGAAGACACGGAAGCCTTTGGCAGCAAACTCTAAAGCTAATGCATTGCCGGCGCCGCCCTGGGAACACCTAATAATGGAAAGTTAGAAGACAAAGGCAGCACAGTACAGGGTCTTGGATGCGCACCCAGTGATTAGAATTGATCGTTTTAATGAGTTGGACATAGTTTACAGACAGTAATAGAGCTGGTGTAGAAGACTGGCCACCTCTTCGCCTGTATACGCTGCTCTTAATAACTTTTTTCTTTAGGAGTGGCGGGTAGGAAAAAGTATATTACTAATGATCTCGAAAAGTCCGCACGGCCGGGGATGGCAACGCTCGGGCGTATCCGGACCCATTTTGATATTGAAGTCCGTGTCTCGGCGAGATAGTTACCCCGTAAACAGCAGATAGCAGGCTAAGAAAGGTAGTTACAATAGTGGCTTCAGCAGAAATGTGGTTAGCGTTCATAACGGATTAGTCAACAACCACCATCGCCATACTAGCAGGAATTATTACTGTGCACATAAATTCTCGGCGTCTAGCAACCTCTACAGCCAAATTCCTCATCTCTTCTTCCTAGCATTATTATCATGGCTAACATGAAAGCTCTCGTCTCTAACCAAAGCATCATCACCAGGCTCATAAACGTCTCGCATGCTAAGGCCTTCAGTAGCCAGGGTGGCCATATCTAGGACAATATAACTATTCCTACTATTTCCTCTAATAAATTTCTCATCGAAGTTAAGACTATGGCCCTTAACTTGATAGATTTTAAGCATCTAGATGCTATCTCTCCCCCCCATTCTATTATTAGATGTAATTATATAGGTATTATTTATTAAGTAGGCGACTCTACTAAAGGCAAATAGAAGGTTGGTAATTGCATGGCCGGCGCTATCTACAGCAGCCTATACCTTGATAAAGGCACTTTTGCTAAGTACTTAAAGACCTATGCAGATTTGGCCTAGAAAGTTCCTGATAGCATTAGTAATATAGATATAACTATATATAGAATCTCTATTATAACTACTATGCTTATCCTTAATATTTATTATAGGCTCCCTTTTATTACTATTAAACCTATAACTCCTAAGAATAAAACTATCTTTATTTATATAAGAGTAACTAGTATTAGATTATATTATATTAAGGTTATAAAGGCTGCTAGATATATAGTTATTATAACTGCCTCGCCCTGTTTATTCTAGTTAGTAAAGGAATATAATACTAATACTATCTTTAACTATAAGTTACTAACCATTATAGCAGATATTATTAAAAAGTATCTTAAGATTATAAAGGCGGTAGATTGCTTCTCTAAGGGCAAGTTAATATCTATTTATGCTGCGGTACTTAAGCCTAGTAGTAGTAAGGTAGTTATGCTATTACCTAATAGCAAATCTAGCACTCCTAGCATAACTTATAATCTTATAATGTTATATATGGCTTTTGGGCACCCCTTTTAGTAGCTACCCCTAATTAGCCCTAAGTTTAAAGCCAGGCTATAAGATTATACTGCCCTTATTCGCTTTTATGAAATTCTGCTATAAATTATATATATCTTAAAGCCCATCCCGACTATTGTGCTGAAGAACGGCTTTGATGGCGTGCTGGAAGGGTTGAATAAATTGCAGGCAGGACAGGTAACAGGAGGCAAACAGGTTATCAGGTTTAATATAGAAGAGTGATGAAGGTATTCCCTGCAGCCCCTGCGAGTGCTGAGGGCAAATGGCTCTCTGGGGCAGCGGCCTTGGATTCATTTTGTTTCTGCTCCTGGCGTGATTAGGCGTCTTCTGAGTAACCGTCAATCCATAACTTGTCGCAACTGAACTGCATTATACTAAAGGTGGCCTGCCGTACCAGCCAATATTCCGATATCTAGAGCTGCCTACGAACGGGTAGGATTGCAAACGGGTTTTGCTTAGACAACTACTTTGCCCACCTAAATTTTGCCTTCCAAGAGCTTCAAGTATATGGCGCCCAGCCCAGTGACCATACATGGGCACTTTCGTTCGTTCGTTCGTTCGTTCGTTCGTTCGTTCGTTCGTTCGTTCCGTTTAAAACGTTTATGCATGTTAAATCGTTTAACCGTTTAAGGGCATCCTAAAACCGTTTGAACGGTTAAACGATTTTCTAGCCCTGTCCTGGTAACAGGTCATTGATCGTGCGATTAGAAAGAAGGACAGAATCCAGTCCTTCATGTCTGATCATGAAGAGGCCATCGGAGACAATCGGCTATTAGTTGGAGATTGGGAGTTGCTAGGCAAAGCACATACGTTTCTTCAGCCATTTGCTTCAGCAGCATTGTATGCAGAGGGAGATGACTCGTCTATCTCACAATCGTTGATGCTGATGGATATGTTACTCCATTACGAAGAACAACAGGTACCCTTCGATCTATCCACATCAAGTCGATTACTAACATTGTATCAGAAGATATATCAGTCGGATGAACACTCCGACGAACGGATGGTTCGAGCCATCGATATAGGATGGTTTATCCTCTCTAAATACTACCGCCTAACTGACGAGGTTCCCGTATATGCCGCCGCTCTCCTCCTTGATCCCCGTAAACGCATCGCGTATATCAAGCAGAACTGGCCAAAGGAATGGCATGAAGATACTATTGCCTCGGCCACAGCATTCTGGCAAAAGGAATTTAATTACAAGCAACCTAGCGACCATCCCTCCACCCCCACGTTGATGCCACCACCGCTAGCAAAGAAGCTAAATCAACTCGCGATACTATCAAAGAAGCTGGAGGTTAGGACTATTAACGCGAGTGTTAGGGATGATTTCACTAGCTTCATCAACGTTGATGCAACAGATATCCCTCCGGATTATACGCCTTTGGAGTAGTGGTGTCAACCACAGCAGAGAAAGCAGTATCGGAAACTTAGCCGCACGGCTATTTGCATTCTTTCTATCCCAGCAGAGTCATCAGAGCCGGAGAGGACGTTTTCTAGGGCAAGAAGAACATGTTCATGGGATAGATTACGAGTCACATGCAAAACCGTCGAGATAATTAAATATACGGGCAATTAGTTGCATCAAGGACTCATACGGCCTTTGCATGAGAATGAGATGGGTCTAATCGGAATCCCACGGCCGGAGGGTGACTCTCAGGACGTTGACGATGACAGTGGGCATTATTTTGACTGGTATTAGAGCAGGCGCGGTGGATATTTCTTACCGTCATAAATCGTTCATTCGTTCATTTAAATCGTTTATTCGTTCGTTTAACCGTTTGCAATATTTTTGAACCGTTCAAACGTTTGAGGAAACATTCGACCGTTTAAACGGTTTGCCCATGTATGCGAATGGCGTTGGATTCAGTTACAAGGACTGTCACTAATATTTGACTTGACATCTAGTCGAGGCTATCGGTTACGCAGGGCTTGCTGCTGCCACGAATGCGACAGATCAGCTCGGACCGTATATCGTGTAATCTGTTCTTCTGCTAGACCCACCCTCACTATTCGCCGGTTCTATCTACATGACCCTTGGACGCCTCATCCGAGGCCTCGGAACTACGGCAATTTCTTGCTCAATTGTCAGGGTCACAGTCATGACAAAGCTTTTCGACTGGGGCGATGTTGTGTCATTCCTCGTCCAGGCTACGGGTGCCGGCATGACCGCCTCAGGAGGTTGCTCGATGGCTGATTCAGGGCGGTGGGTTGTGATTGCGGGATTGGTTATTTAAATCGTCTTTTTCAGTGCCCATGAAGGGGACTTGAGTCGCCTACGGCCAATGGACGGACGATACACACACACACACACACACACACACACACACACTCAATTTTAGATCAGTTGTCAACGTTGAAGCCATCGAGAAGGATTGACTCCGTCAACATAAAGATCAAGTTGAATTGATTGTATTGATGCTTGATCTTGACAGCACCCATCCTAAAATATCGTCGATCCCATGCTCACAGAGCTAGGATACATAAGGTTTACTATGTTCCCCCTTTTCCCGTAGCACCATCTATCCCCAAAAATAGGTATCGGAGTTTGCAATCATTTCTGGTCGTGTAACTAGCCTTCCGTCCTACCTCCTAACCAGAAAGAAAATATCCAGCCCTTCCGAGAGGCTTTCGCCCGATACATTTGTTCCTTTAGTGAATATAAGAAGGATCATCCAAGCACTTGGTAACATCGACGTCCAGGTCCGCGATAGGGACCTTCTTGCAGCCTTGGATTCTGAAGCTCTTCATATAGGAGCCTTCCTTGCTGGTGCTCTTCTTGTACCATTCCTTGGGAGAGCCGGCCGTCGCACTGCCAAGTTTGTCACCAGTGCAACCAGGCTTGCTGTGGATTGTAATCGAGCAGCGAGTCCAGGCAGCGCTGCAAAAAGTGAAGGATCCAACGCGCTCCCTTGTGATTTGATCAGGGATAGAGTAGCAGTTGTTGTCCGCGACCATACTCTTAAAGTGCATGTGTTTGCCCTTTTGGTAATCTTCGGTCCACACGGTGAAGCTCCATGCGTCGGCGCCGATAAGGGCCATGGAGGAGAAGGCGAGGATAGAAGAAATCTTCATTTTGAGAGTGGTAAAGGTTCAAGGACAAGGGTGTTAAAAGGAGTTGGGTGGATGGGTAAGAAAAGAGGCAGTATGCATGAAGACAAGTGACGTCCTTTATATCTCTTCTTTGCTTCATCGGCCTGCGTACTGCGTTTAGAATAACTCGATTCCTAACTTTGTAGCGACAATATTCGACGTAAGACCTTGACTTGATTCAGTTGATTCTTGAGCGGATTCGGAACTAACAACAGGAAACCGTTATGCCTTCCCAGTTATTTGGTGATAATACGGGACAACTTTAAGTCCCTAATCCTGTCACCGCTCAATACCCATGTTCTATGGATAGTTTAATGGCCCACACTTTTGTTATACCATTTTATTTTATTTCGGAAGGTAGTAGTAACGATACAAACGCTATAAACATTTCCCCCACTTAGTGCTATGAGCAGCTCGTTAGCTCCATGCTTGAGATCCTATCGTGACCCAAAGAGCATCATGGAAGACCTTTTGTGAGTTTACTAACCCAGTCTATGGTGAACTCGAGTAAAATTGGTTTTGTGACCCCAGAAAACAGGGCGCTCGGGCTGCTCATAGCACTAAGTGGGGAAAATACTTAGAGTTTGCTTTGTTACTACTACCTTCCGAAATAAAATAAAATGGTATAACAAAAGTGTGGGCCAACCTTCCTTCAGCCGACGCAGCCGCCATTCAGTCTCGCCTACGGCACGTCAAATACCTTGTTATCGATGACAAGAGCATGCGACGGCTTCCAGTCTAAAAGCCCATTATGGACCGCCTATTTCCCACACTGGAAAGACCTTATCGCTAGCCACCCTAGGCACTACAACACCGAAACTTTATTGTCACACCAAGTTTTAGTTTGACCTTGGTACCAGTCTAATTAAGGCAGGTGGTCCAGTCCAAGGCCTCTGGACTGCTGGGCGGTTCAGTCCAGTAGTTGGGTCGGTGACGACCAGCGAATCCCCGCTGTTGTATGTTTTTGCCTCGATCGACAAGGTCGCTAGAAACTCAATATCTTCTACTTTTGGACCTTCGGTTACCCAAGTCCAATGATGATCGACATGCCCTTATCGTGTCACTATTATTGGTTGTGAAACCCCCCTATTCGGGTCAAGTCACCGGTATCTAGCGGTTCCACTATGGAGTACTAAGGGCCCGATCGACAGGAAAGATCTACCTGAGTCTATCTTTTAGGGAGTGAACTACGATAGCAGGGGACGATCGCTCGGCAGTTCAGATCCAAATGGTACTCAAGGCGATAATTAGGCAGCGGCAGCAATCTTTAAGCTTGTTCAGGCTGAGCGAGAGCAGTTCAACAAGGGTTCACGACATCAGACGAGATCAACTTTTGCTTGCAGTGGTTGATGCTAATAACTACATCCTTATTGTCCGTCCTATTTTCAGTAAAAGAGGAAATTCTATATCTCTTATTAGCTTATACCCCTATTAGTTCCTCTTTTAATAAAAAAGGGATAGTATTTTTAATCCCCTGCTAGTTTTTTTAATTAAAAGTATATAATAAACCTTCTTATTAGCTAGTTTATTTCTTTATTAGAACCTTTATAAATAGCTTTACTTTAATAATATAAAGTAATATTACCTCCTAAATACCTATATATAAATTAATATCTTAATTATATATATTTTATAACTATATTATAGTAATTTAGTAAGGGCTTTATTAATATTAAGATATTTATAACTAAGATTTCTCCTTCCTTAATTAACTCTTAATCTTATTAATTCTCCTACTTTTATTATAAAGTATTAACTACCTTAACTATTTTTAAATATATAGCCTCTAAAGCTTTATAACTACTAGACTAGTAGTTATAATATTAAGTAAAATAAAATAATACTATAACTATAGTATATAGGATAGCCTTACTCATTTTATAATAGACTGCTTAGGATTATTATAGTTATAGTAAGGAAGCCTAAGCTAGTATAAAATAAAGGTTATTTATTAGATTAATAGTATAATATAGCACTTTACAGTCTAGCTATTATAAAAACCTAATTATAAGTTATACTTTATAGTATTAATATTATAGTTAATTAAGCTAGTTTTATATTAACTAAGACTTTATATAGATTTTAATACTAGCTAAATACTTATTAAAAAGATATCTTTTAGCCTTATAAATTTAAAATTATAAATTATTTAAAAAGATATATTAATATATAAAAAAGGTTTATTTATTATATATTTAAAGTTAATTATTGTAAAATATATTAATAATAAAATATATATAACTTATAACTTAAATATAATAAAACTATTATAATTTATTATATATTATATCTAGTTGCCCTTTTATAATATAAGGCTATAAACTCTAACTAAAACTTAAATAAAGGATATAAAGAAGATAAGGATAAGCCTAGTAATTGTAATAATAGAGATAAGTATAAAGATAAAGATAACCATAATAATAGAGCTAATAAGGAATATATTGGTAAGTATAACCAAGTCGAGACTAAGAATTATTTTAATAAAAATAATAAATATTATAATATAAATAATAATAGAGATAAGTTATTTATAAATTTGGCATTTTCTTTTTTATTTGGTTTTTAGTTATACTTATTTAAGGCTATTTTTTAACTTTTAATAATATTTTAAATATACTAGGAACCTACTAGAGATATATCTATATTTACTATTATTTACTATATAGCTATCTTAAGGATTAAGGGACTATTACTTACTTTTTATTTAGCTTATAGCTTATTACCTAGACTAGCTGCCCTTATATAAATTAGGCAGCTTCTGTTTCTTAAGTATATTGTCCTTATTTATACTTATAATACTCTTGACTTTATCTGGCTTAGTTAAGCAGTTTACCTATTATAAAATAAGAAGGAGTACTAGGTAACCTAACTTAAGCTCCTAATAGCTAATTATTTATAATTAATAATAATAAAAAAGTCTTATTATTAGAGTTTTATAAGACTTATTATAAAGCAGTAATAGTAATATAAAAGCAGGTAAATAAGATACTATTAAGATAGTAATTAAATATTAATATTTCTACTACTTAAGATAATTTAATATATTAAAAAGCAGGCTAGTTATTTATTAATAAAATTAAAAATAACTTAATAAATATATAAAAAATATTACTTTATTAGTTATAAAAGTTATTATTTTATAATATACCTTTTATAAAATCTAAATATTAAAATATAAAGACTTATTATAAATATCTTAATACTAGTTTTAAGCTTAATAAGTTTACTTTTATAGTAATTTACTTTAAAGCTAGTTTACCTAGCTAAGGCACTAAGGTAATTAGTATTTAATATCTAAACTTAAAGCTATTTATATATAATATATTTTTCTATAATAAATAAATAATTATCATTATTAGTTATAATAAGGCCTAGGTATCTAACTATTATATATTTTATATTATTTATTATATTCTTATAAATCTTAGCCTTAGCCTCTTAATGTATTTTATTATTATTTAACTAGTTTAAGAATTCTTAGCTAGAAAGATATATATAATATACTATAATAATAAGGAGTTCTTTTTCTTAGACCTTAATAATATAAAAAAGTATCTATTATTTAAGCAAGCTTTAAGTATCTTAAGAAGCAGGACCTAAGACCTAATTATGCCCTAGATATTATTACTATATAGATAAGCTACTTTAGCAATTGCCAAGAGGTACCTAGTAAAGCTAGTTAAGAAGACGAATTTCTACTACCCTTTAAGCGTGGCTAACCTAATTTGCATGTTTGTAACTAGAGCTGGTCATCATCCTCGCATACTGCTAACTATATATACTATTAATCGAGCTCTTCCAGAAAGACTCTAACCAGAGCTCTTAGAGATATATTGCTACTTATCAAATATTTAGCAAGAATAGAGTAGATAATATTACCAAGAATGTTGCCTTTATTTGCAAAAAGAATCTACTGGTATAAACGCCCCTATTGCCCGTAAGATCTATAACAAAAGGTCAGCAGAACCTTACAGCCGAGGCCCAGCGTTAAAGAAAATTAGGATTAACAATACCATTCCCTGTTACGATAATGACCGAACTGAGTTTGCGGAAGGATTCCTCTATAATGCTTAGTATAAGATCCTTATTTGCATCGTATGCGAATCGATAATCTAACCAGGGCAAAAGTCGTTCTATAACTACCTAAATAAATTGCACTGTATTACTAGGCTTGCTTATAAAGCCTTAATAGAATAATTTAATATATATAAACTTTGCTTATTCTAAGAGCTGGCTATCCCTTATAAGAAGGTATAACCGGTTCCAGGATTAACTATTCATACTGCATTTAAGTATAATATCTGCATTAAAACTTCTAAAATGCCACACTTCACATTATCATCAGATAAAGTTAGAGATTATATAATTATACATAAATTAGGGGTTTCACCGATAACAGCAGAGGAATTAGGCATATTCCAGACATGTCATGTCCAAACATTTTCTTCTGCGAAGGGTAAAATTCGATGGTTCGAGATTGAATAGTAAAGTTTTATTTAATTAGATAGGCAGCATTAAATAGAATATGGAGTTACTATGTCCCAGGCTTACAAGACATACCTAATTCGTAGTAAGGTCTGGAGGGACGGTATGGTCTCATCCTGCTTCTAGAAGGCGTACATGCAGGCGACGCAAATATCGCGTACCTTGCCGGGGTGAGCAATCATAGTTTCCGGACATTTAACTATAGCTATGCCGGTAGCACGACCTTAACTATAATAAACTCACTTCACCATGCCTACCGAGCATCGCAAAGCTGGCAGTCTCTATTTCAGATTGATTAAGTGCTCCAGGGTAAGTAATTATATACCATATCAGATACATAAGCGCAAGGGCTATTTAATACTTGTAAGAAGGTATGGTTTTATATAAGACCGGCTGCTAAAGAAGATAGAATTACTGCGGCTGCTTGTAGGTTATATAACGACCCAGAACTACAATTGCATCGCCCTAGTCAGCAGGATGCCATGCTAGCGACTATAGGTCTACATATACCTAAATAGGTTATTATTATTCTTATAACAGGTTTAGGGAAGATATTAGTATTTATAGTTAGAGCTACCCTAGAAGGAGCTAAAATAACTATTTTAATCCTTCCTACTATAGCCCTATATAGTAATATGCTTAAGTGCCTTAATAAGTTGCGCTAAAGTACTATATCTGGCACCCAGGCTGGAAGAAATTAGCCTCTATTGTTATTATATTAGCCGAGGTAGCTTGTATAGAAGCGTTCCTAGAGTACGCCAACTAACTATCCGATAGACAGCACCTAGATTAGATTATAATTAATAAATGCCATCTTACTATTATAGCAAGCTATTACTAATAAAGCATATTGCAGCTAGTATGGTATATACAGCAGATCTGCATGCAGACTATCTGGTTAACGGCAATACTGCCACCAATCTATTAAGAGCTTTTCTTCAAGCACAATAATCTTATCTCTTTGAGCGGCATAAGACTGCCACAGGTCGCTTACCCCGCTTTTTTGCAGGTACCTGCAGGGTACGTAAAGTTCCTGTCAGACAGCTTCTTCTTTCAACACTACCAAAATCATCAAAACCCTTATATAAATTAACATATATAATAAATAAGTATAATATGTAAGTAAGTGTAACACTTTTCTTATACCCTTAAGTTAGAAATTACTATAAAAACATAATAAATTAATTAATTAATTAAAACTACTTACTATACTCTTCCCTAGATATCTTAATTACTACCTAATATATTCTTGCATTATGTCTGGGCTTGCCGCATACACTATATCGCCGAATGCCCGGCCTAACTGACCTTCCTTAACTACTACTTCTCAACGATTCCCCAACTACCTGCGTATCTATATCTATCTAATTAATTGCTTCCCTTGCTTAATCTACTATTATAACCCCTCCTTTCTGTAATCTAGTCCTTTTTGCCCTATAGCGCCGGCTTAGTATCTTATTTGCCTCTTAAAGGTCTCTAACCTTAGCTATTAATAAGATAACCCTATATATAATAGCCTTTATTCCTTTTATAAGATATTAAAGAGCCTTTAAAATTAACTTTAGGGAGCTACTTTAATGCCTTCTGATTTGTTTTTCGAGGTATTTAGACTGAGATTTAGCCTTAAGTATAGTCTTTAGGGTCCTTAAAGCCTATAGGGTTAACGGTTTAGCTGCCTCCTTAACCGGCGTTGGCGTCCGTAGCTGCATATCAAGCTTCAAGATTACATTTTCTAGGTTAAGAGGAATAAGCCTAGCTCCTTTAAATGCCCCCCTGATATTTCTTTCTGTTATAGTGGCCTTGTATGTGGCGTGGAAGGCCGGAAAGAACTTGGTCTTCGAAATGTAGGTAATAGAGCATCTAATTAGATGCTCTATTTCTCGACTATAAGCCTTCTTTAGCATGCTAAAGTACCTGACATTAAGGGGCTAGAGTAGATAAGAGGAATAAGGTAGTATATAAAGCCAGATAATCTTCTTCTCCTTATAATATCTCTTAAACTCGATAGAGTGGTGACTTTTATAGCTATTAAGGATTAGAAGATAATAGTAACTATTTAATTGCTTAGCTATATACTAGTTAAAGTGCTTTAGCTACTTTAGACTAGTCTTATTATTAATCTAGCTATTTTAGGTTATTATAATAGCCTAATTGCCTGGGAGGTTACTATCTTAATACTAATTAGCGAGGTAATATTGGCCTATGCTAATAATAAATGGCTAGATTGCCTAGCCTTCTATATTAATTGCCTGGATAACTGTAATCTATTTCTGGTTTCTAGGCTATATTAATTTCGGCTTTGAATGCCTTTCTAAACCTATAATAACTATCCTGCTTGCAATTATACCTATAAGAAAGCCAGTCTTATTAAAGTTCTAGATATTATCTAATTAAATACTATACTTTATAATTATATTTACTATAAGCTAAAACTAATTGCAGATAAAAGTTAAATCTTTATATTTAGCTCTCTAGTAGTTATATTTATAAAAAAAACATATCTTAAGCTCTTAGTATTATATAATAAAGTTATAAGCCTAGCACTGGCTAACAGGTAGTATATTATAGTTAGTAAGTAATTAATTAGCTATATCTTTTATATTATATAGCTAGGGGGGAAATCCTTATAAATCTAGGTTAAGAATAAAGTAAAGAAGAATCTCTTCCTCTAGATTAGATAGCCGGCGTGATTTTAGGATAGAATCACGTCTTAATTAAATGCCATTCTGATGGCGATGTAAGGTTATATAATTGACCTTATATATATCTGCAGCGTGTTAGACGCTTAGCTTTGGGTTATTTTGAAGGGCCTGAAGGGCAAGAAGCATTCTAGCCTTATAGTTTGGGTCTGATATATCTAGTAGTTAATAAATAAATTAATTAATTGCAAAGTTAGGTGTAGGAGGGAAAAGTGTCACACTTACTTGCATGTCATACTTACTTATTATATATATTAACCTTAATAAGTCTTAATTAAAATAATAAGCTCTTAAGAGATATATATATTAGATAATTATAGCTTTAATAGCCTGCCTTTTATAGTAGCTATTAATAACCCTACTAGTATAATTAATATTCTGCTTAAAGAGGGCTATAGTAATAATTTTTAACCTTTTAATATAAAATATTATAATTTTTAAATTAACCCTTTGCCCTAGCTATTACTTAAATTATTTTAGCTTTTTATACCTATTTCCTTTATATAGTTATAAGTTAGATATATTAAAAACTAGGCTTTTTTTTATATTAATAATAGTATTAAAAATAGCTAAAATACCCCCCTTTTTAACTACTTATGCTTATATACTTAGGAAGGCATTTCTACTTTAATAGCTTATATATAGCTTAGTATCCTTATTTACCTAGGAATTTATAAGGAAATATCCCTTATAGACTATTAGAAGGCCCTTAGCCTAGGAGATTAGCGCCCTCTTTATTTATTTATAAAGTTTATACTATTATAGAAATTTAAGCTAATTATAGAGTATTTCTATACTTTTAATTATACTAATCTTAATATAAGTAATAAAAAGGATTTTTTAAAGACCTTTTAAGTAGCTAAAGAGTAGTTTAAATATATATAAAGGATATCTATTAAGCTCTATTATTTAAGGATTAATTTAATTATAAATAAGTATATAGTCCCTTTTATAGGCAGATTAAAAAAGATAATACTTATTAAGGGAAAGCCTATATTAATAAGCTTTAAAATCTAAGTTATTATATAATAAGGCTACTTTTTATAATAGCTTTAATATATAAAGGCATTACTAATTATAGCTATAATAATTAAAGTAAAAGATATATTAATATTATATAGTAAAAAAGGGAAGCTATAAACTAAGATCCCTCTTAGTAATATATAAAGTATTATAGTTTACTTATTAAAAAGGCTATTAATATAAATATATTATATCTTTATAAATAACCTTTTCTTATTACTATAGCTTTTCTACCTACTTTAGTAGCTTAGATATAGGGCTATAGGCATAATATGCCCTAATTATAGCATTATTACTAAGATAAAGCAGATAAAAGAGATTAAGAAGCTTCTTAATAATAAGTTATTATTATTTAATAAGGTATATTTAATCTTAATAAAGGATAAATAGGTATAGATAACTTTTAGCTATATTTCCCTTATTAACTTATTTCTTTTTTATCCTTCTAGGTCCTTTAAATTACTTAGAAAGATAGCTTTATAATGCTCTTCCTTTTAACTATATATAGCATAGCCCCTCTTAACTGCATACTAAAAGAGAGGAAATTACCTACTAAAAGAGGCATAAAGGCAGAGGCATAGTGCCTAAAGGAGGTCTTTAATAGAG